CCGCCCAAATCGCCGTATTTCCGCGAGATTTTATCTGTAACAACAATAATTATTATATATAATAAAAAATAACAATATATAATAATAATAAATAGCATTAAATAATAATAATAATAATAATAATAAATAATATCAAATAGTCTGCCTACACTCACCCTTCGTATACAAAAATGCGTCCTCGGGCTCCGAGTCGCTTTGGCTGCGCTCCAAATATGCTGCGCTTCCTGGCTCGATGCCAACTTTTGCAGCCTTATTCCTGTCGATCGCTTTCTCGCCTCCCTCCGTTTGCTTATGAGGCTGCAATAAGTAATAATAGTAAATATAACAATAACAATAAATAATAATAATAATAATAATAATAATAAATAATACCTCATCTCTCTCTATTTCTGCATCACTCTGCTCCTCTTTACTGCCCTGCGGTTTATTCGCGTCTTTCGTCGAAATCTTTTGGTCTCCTTCCTAAACAACAGTAATTAATAATAATTAATAATAAATACAATAATAACATACAATAAAAATATATAACAATATACAATAAAAATAACCTCTTTTTCAGGAATACTGCGCCATGAATCCTCCGTCGAGGCTCTTGACGGTATTACACTCTCGGGTTTCTTCAATATTGAGGACGGCGACGTGCTTGGCGCAACGCCAAATGTTACCATCTGCAAATTGGCTCAACGCCAAATGTTACCAAATTCATTTTTATTACTATTACAAGTATTATGAAAAATTCCCCGAGTAAATTTACTAATAAGTAAAATAAAAATAACAGTAATGATAAAAATAAACCTGCTGCGGCGAGAAGCTGTGCAGACTCTGCACTACGAATCTGACCGGGTTCGAGGCGTTCTTTATCAAGTAAACGGCCTGATCGTGGGTCGAGTCTCGCAGGTCGTGCTCGTTCACCTTTAATTATTATTTATTTTTATTTACTATTTATTATTACTATNAATAAAAACTCACACTGATAACCCTATCGCCCATATTCATCAGCCCTGACCTTCCAGCAGGACTATTCGGCAGCACAGACTTGATAAAGATGCCCGATACGGTATTACCCGTCCCGGGCAGTCCTCCCCTCTGACTCACTTCCACACGACCGCCCACTATACTGATGCCTCAAATATTTATTATTATAAATATATTATAAAATAAATAATAATATATAATAATATAATATATAATAATAAATAATATCAATAATAATAATAATAAAGAAAGTGACTTACCAAAAGACTGATTCGGCTCTCTGTTCAGTATCACCGTTCTCGCTTCACCCCAAAATTTGGATCGACCCATTGGCACGATTTTTGGCTGCAATATTCAGAAGTAATAATTTATAAATATATCATTTACTATTATTTATTATTATATATAATAATGATATTCGTACCTGCTCAGGTGACGCTTCCTGTTGCTTTGGTTGCTGCTGTTCTGCAATATATTATTGTTACTTATTATTGTTTATATTATTTATTATTATTTATATTATTATTTATTACTATTACCTTGAGAGCATTGCCGTTTCTGCTCTGTTGCAGCCTTAATATCAGCACCAGCTGGGGGCGGGGTTGCCGTGGGCGTAGCCATCGGCAGATCACTCTCTCTGTCTTCGTCGTTGTCTTTGTTTCTCTCGCTCCTCGTCTCTTGCTTACACTCTCCGCATTCGTCTCCTTCTCTGGAATCTCCTCGTTCCAACTGTGCTTTCTCGCCTTCCTTTGGAGAACTGAAATTGCTTCTCACTGTATTTATTCTATCAATCGCTGTAACAACTATAATAAATTATAATAATAAATAATAATAATAAATAATAATATTAAATAATGATGAAAAATAATAATTAAAAAAATAAAAAATAATAAAAATAAATAAAACGCACCTCGTCACCACCTCAGGTGATATTTCCTTCTCACTCCGCGCCACCTCCTCAAAATTCTCCGCCAAACCGTTTTTTGTATGAATTACAGCTTGCGAAACCAGTTCGTCGATTTCCTGGAACTTTGCCAATCTTATAATCATAATAAATAATAATAATAAATAAAAATATAATAAATATTATAATAATATACAATTAAAATTTTTCTCTATCTGCCACTACCTCACTCACTCTCCAACAATCTCACTCTCTTTTCATTCATTCAATTTTTCTTTATTTCTCCAATTCCTACCTTATCTAACTGCGGACAACTGCTCTCTTCGCGTTCCTCTGCTTCACTGGCGCCCTCCTCGTCGGCAGTACTCTCTCGCTGCTCTATTTTATCAAAATCCAAATTTTTGGGTATCGGCGGCCTGCCGATCCAGTCCGGTGTCGAAACAGCCACCAATAGCTCCAAGTAGGCGTCTTCTAGTACCAACTGTAATAAATTATATTAATAATTAATAATTAATAATGATAATAAATAATATAACAATAATAAATAATAATACATAATAACAATAAATAATAATAATAAATTACAATAAAAGTGATACAATCAACACACACATTCACTTATAATATCAGTAATAATAATTATTATATTCAATATCACATATTTATTATTGTATTATTTATTATTATATATATTTTATTATTATTTATCATATTTATATTTATTTATATTTATAATAGTATATACTATTACTGTTATTACTATATTACTCGCTATCATATTTATTATAATGTATATTTTTATTATTATATTACTTATTACTATATTTTTATTATTATTATATTGTTTATTTATATACTCTTTATTATTAATATATATTTATAAAAAAATAATAAATATAAAGCTGCTAAAGGAATAAAAATTGGAATCACACCAAATTACGACTGATTACGTGCCAACGAATGAGTGTTCATTAACATGAATTCCGATTGCACCTAAATAATAATTAACATGCACAGAGAAGGAGAGCACGAATAAATACAGTGGCAACTGGAGAGGATCAGAGAAATAAAGACAGCTAGAGAGCTGCATGAATGAAAGCAAATTTCAATAATTAGTAGGTGAATGGGCTGAGAGATACATAGAGACACATTCTACTTTCATACAAATTCACTAGTGGTATTATTTTACCCAAGTAATATTTACCCGAGAAATAGTAAGTTTTACCCAAACAGTAGTGATATTTGCCCAAGATATGGTCGTATTTGCTCAAGTAATAGATTACTTGCCCAAGTAATAGTAATACTTTCCCTATTAACATTAATATCTGCCCGGCATATAGTAATATTTCCCAAGCAATGTTAACATTTGCCCAAGTGCCCAAGTAACTCTACCTCAATAACAAATGCTCGGTTTGACAAA